TAATTGACAGCCACAGTTCTAGACCTCAGCTGAGCAATATGCTCTGTGTCCCAGCAGTGCCATAAGCAGAGCTCTAGGAGAGTGTACAAACCTTGCATGCAGGCCTGGGGCTCTGGCTTTCCATCTTTATCAATGGCATCATCTTACCAGTTTGCAGCTCAGAGACAAAAGTGATTTACTAGGGCTTAGCATTACACACAGTCTGATTCATCCTCACTGCACGTGTGCTCTTAACATGAGAGGCAGAAAATTAACGACATTAGCAGGAAATGTTTGTCACTAAAAATCTACCTCCACGGACTTTGTCCTGTGTTTGCCACGTGCCAGGAATGCACTTGATTACCACAGTTCAAATGATGTCTGGAAGGTAATTAAACCAGGGTAACTCAATTCTGTATCTGGTCCCTTTCATTGAGAATAGACATTTTTGCCATTGTGAGGCTTTTGGTTAAAGCAAAGAGTTAAATCCTGAAGAAGTGACCTTTCAAGGGAAAGAGTGAGAAGGGAAAGGGCTGCAGAGAGCAGCGCAGGAGAAAGTAAGAGTCAAAAATCTGCAGGAAAGAAACAGACCAGAGGTTCTGCTGTTACCCCAGGCTTGTAGAGAAATTCCTGAAGCTAAAATTTGGTCCAAAGTCTAAAACTGAAACTTGGAACTGAATTTCCAACAGTTTAGATGAGGCTCAGACTCAGCAGCTTGTTGTGGTCTTAGCACACCAGAAAGAAGGGCAGGTACTTCAGTCAGTACTCTGTTTTGGACAATCTCAACCAACTTCTAAAGATCCAAGGAAATTGTCACCCTGAAGGATCAAATCAGGGAGCCAAGGGGTAGCTTTCAGCCCAGACTTGGCTCACAGCACAGCTTTCTGTCCCCTGAAAACACTAACGTGCCATTGGTCAGGCTGTGCTGACCGAAGGGGCAGAGTTCACTTTGGCAGTGCTGTAGATCAGCATCAGACCCAGCAAAGTCCAGAAAAGTCAGGCATGGCCATGCTCATGCTGTCCCCACGTCCTGGAGCAGCTCAGTTCCCTCAGTGCAGCACAGTGTCAGGGATGTAGGGAGCATGCCAGAGCCAGCTGGAGCACTTGGTAATCACTAGCCCGGAGGAGCATGGAGCATCATCCGTGGGCAGGCCAGGCGCTGGGCTTGGCACCACCAAGTGCTGAGCCCAGCTATCCCCTGCAGAGACGTGCATGTGTTGCATGCCAGGCTTGCCAGCGTGCCTGGAGAGCTCAGCAGGTCAGATGCTGTATCATATGAACATTGAGATTTGAGCTAGTGGCAAATTCATGTCTGCTTCTCCCCTTCTTTTCTTTTCAACAATGTATTTCCTCCTCCGCTGTCTCTGCATCAGAGAATTTGTCCTTTCATTGCCCCTGCCCAAACACAGCATCCTCCCATACATTCCTTATTCATCACCTTGCCACAGCTCCTCATCAAGCTATACATCAAGAGAACATGTCAGGGCTTGTGCAAAACAAGTTCTTCCAAAAAAGCCTTCGAATACAGAATTTGGAAGGACTTCCTTCCCTCCCCCAAGAATTATATGGAACAGCAGCCCCCCAGTCAAAACTAACAGTATAGTTACTGCCTTATGTACACCCTGCCACCAATCCTGTGTCTGCAGAAAAGGCTGGCTACTGACCACAGAGAAGCCAGGCATCTCTGAAGCAATCCACTGGGCTGTAAACATTAGTACATCAGCCTGAAAGACAGAGGGTTGAGAGACTTCTGTGCAGCAAGTGGGGAGCTAAACTCTCAACAGATTTTCTGTAATTCAAATTACTGGGCAGTGGGAAAAACAAGCATTTTGCTAAAAGTCTGCCTACAGTTTGGTAGACTTTTTTTTTCTTTTACAGAAACTTTAGTTCATGAAAGAAAAAAAAATCAGAACTGCTAAATATAGTCTGTCAGCAATAGGATGAGGGGTCTTATAACACCATAGATATTTTTGCCTTTTTTTTCAAATTCAGGATTAAGACTGGAAAAGGAAGGAAAGAAAGCTCTGATAGATTTGGCTCCAGCAGTCAAAGAATACAATTTCTCAAGCCAAGCTTTCTAGCAAGTTCACTCTCCTTTCAAACGAAATGATGAAGGACTGTTACCAGCTGTGCAGCAATATGTCTTCAGGCTTTATTATTTTGAATTTCAGTTTTAAACGAATTTTACCAGAACCAATATTATTCTTGGCAGCTTTAAAGGTGCTAAAGGCAGACTGCTGAATGGGGGCAGCAGTTTCTTTTTCAGGCACTAGCTATAGTTCACCCTCTAATTTCCCCACTTTCCTCCACCTTTCTTCTGTACAGACTTTTGTTTCTGAATAGGTATAAACGGGGGCAATTTGGGAATTTGCTTTCTACAAGTTAATTTCATGGCACTTAGCAGACAAAGTGAACCCACTTAAATGCAAGCTTATTATTATAAGCAGTTTCAAGCTCTTGTCATCCTGGTGACTTTTTTCTCCTTGGCCCGAAACCACAATCTATGTATAACTGGACAGAAATGTGCAAATTGTGACTTCAATTCTGCATTTGAACAAGTGTTTTTCTTAATTAGAACCATTTTATTGTCACTTCTCACCCTTGACGTATCATATAAGGGTTTTTTCCAAAGCAAAACTATCTCTTATCACCAACTGCCCACCTCATAATTTAAATAGTCCAGTTTGAATACTGAGTACTGAACAGGACTGCAACATGCTACATCCCACACATATTTCATGTGTCCAATCTAAACAAAAGGTCTCCTGATCCAATCCTAAGATGCTCCTGAGATGTTTTCCCACTCTCAATTTCTCTCACAGCCTGAGACAGAGAATTTGCATGGAAACAATTCACACAGCCTTCAAACGAGACTCCAACTCCTGCTTTTTTGGCAGCAAAACCATATCCCTATTTCCAAAAAAATAGCAAGCAGAAGCTGGAATGGAGACACGACTTGGCACAGCAGTATCCTACTTAGGCCCCTCATATTCCCTGTGCTATGCATATTCCAGAAATCCTTTAGTAATGCTAGCGTGTACTTTTTTTCTCTTACTGTCACCCCGTGACTTGAGCTCTCCAACTGCTCTTGTTATCCCAGAGCATGAAAACCTGGACCATTCTAAGGGTGCCCCAGTATTTTAGTTTTAAAGGTCATATTAAAATGGGTTGGTGGCTAAAAAGCTGAGTCAGCTTTATCACTGTTAAAATATTTTAATCTGAAATCTTTCTTGAAATGTAACTTGAGAACATTAACAAAGTAATGATGAATGAAACAATTTTTTTTTTTGGAGAAAGCTCTCTGCTATTCTGTTTCAGTATTTCAGATGCTATCTTCTCCTTAAATCTGTGTTAGTTAAGGAAATTGCAGTTTAAGTGGCTTCATCCCATTCATGCCAGGTAGCATCCCCTTTCTCAGGGGAAGGATGCAAACCCCACTCTCGTTCACTTCATTTTTTATTAGAGTATTAGTATCCCACTTATATTACATGGTTTCTATTCCAATCTGCCTTTCCCTCATCCCTCTTCTCATTAACTGAATACTAATGCAGACTTTAATTTGTACATCCAAGATGTAGGAATTAATTCTTTGTTAGAACTTTATGAAGACACAGAGAGAGAATATTTTCACATACCAGAAAATACTACTCGGTCTTTGCAGTGGATGCACAACAGCTTTATGTCTGCAAGAATCATGTAAGATGAAAGAGGGAACAGGGATTTGTGTGATTATACGTGCCCTGGCCTCAAATTCTGCAGGGAGCTCTGGCAAACCAATTGATTAATTATTCACCTAACCTTTACCAGGGGGTTTGTATGCCAGACAAAAACTGAGTAAACACAGTCATGCCAATGGGAAAACTCCCACTAGCCTTGCTGCCCCCTCCTCCCTCCCAAAAAAACCCAAACAGCAACAAAATGCACACAGCACAGCTACATAAACAAACCGGGGCTGTCCTTGGTCTACTGTGGATACCCGGCACTATGAGAGCAGGCAAGACAGAGAACTTTTCATGTTTGGAAGTGGCAGAAAATAAACAGACTGTAACTTAAAGAATTGTCGTTTGCTCTCCTGAAAGTCAGTCATTGAAGCGCTGGTGGATTTTAAAGGCACTCAGTTCTTATTAGTCCCTGTATCATTACTACCTAACAGCAAGCATTCATGGGTTCAATGGAGAGCTGCTGATCTCTGCTCGCCATCAGCTGCCTGCCACCTCCTCCACAGGTGGCTCCACCCTCTTCACCCAGAAAGAAGGGAAACTGAAACAGTTGGAAGATTTGCCAGCTGCCCTTTGAAAAACAGAAGAAGCAAGATAAGCACATAGCAATAGTAACAATCTTAGCATTACATGCACTGTTACTAAGAGCTCAGAAGAAGCATATCTGGGGAAAAGGAACAAACACTTAGCTGTGGTCATCTAAGCATATTTATATCAAACACATGTGCATATCTGCAAGACACAGCTTATACAAGCTATCTCAGGACTGTCACTGGAAAGCTAGAGATGGACTAAGCATAGCTTGCAATACAGCACAAAATGATGAAGCTTTGGTTTTAGTTTTGTGAGCATGAAGTTCCTGGAAGCTGTTCTGTATCCTTGAATGCATGCAAAGCAGTGCTGGAATGCAGCCTATATCCATCTCTTAAGCCAAGCTAAGTATTTTTAGACTTTCTAGAATGAAATATTAGAAGACACAGAAAACAGGGAGCTAGAACCAAATTTGAAATTTCAGTTTGAAAAAAGATGCCAAGAAACAGACACCACATATGCCAGTATCCAAGGTACAGAACTGGCCATGCTATAACACAGGGTGTAAGCCATGCTATCAAGAAGCCTGCCAGAATAACTCGGGTCCCATGTAGGAACCTTCAAGAAGATGCCAACATGCTGCTTGTGTGCTCAGCCACATTCAGGCTCTCTGTAAAGTATTTGCACCTTTGAAGGTGCACACCTCTAGCAAGCAGGAGAACAGGCACCCAGTACAGGTAAATCATCTTAGTCAGGCTCCTTGTTACTTACTACCGATCTTGCTGCTGTTGCTGGGCTGATGCTTGGCCTCTTTGTTTCTCTTCAGATGCTGTCAGCTTCTGGGTGCTTTCATCCTTCTCCGTTTCATTGTTGCCATGCCAGGGGTTACCCTGAGAGGAAGGTGGAGTATTGGAGGCAGTAGCTGTCCTGTACCTGCTGCCTTCCCTCCAGCCTCCAACCCCAGACATGATTTTGCAAGTACCTTGCCTTGACAGAAACCACTATTGCTGCTACAGCTAGGGAAAGGCTCAAAACTTTAGTTACCACAAATCAGTTTCAATTCCTGCTAAGCTCCTCCCCTTCCTGAACTTTCGATTGGCAGGCATGCCAAGAAATGTACTGGTTTCTGAGGCATCCTCCAGCTGAAGCTCAAGTTTCTTCATCTCGGTCACAGCACACAGGCATACGAGAGTCACAGGGTGACAGCAAAGCTGATCTGTACTAATAAACCAGGTGACAACAGTTTGTGCAGAAGCATCGGGAGGTCTCACATTTTTCTAATGTATTTCTGACATATATTTCTGATATATTTCTGACATTTTTTTAACCTGGTACTTCCCTATGACAGAGGGAATAACTCTTGGTATTATGACCCGTAACAGAAGGTGAAGGTAACCCAGGTTCTTATTAATAGGGTGAAATTAGAGTGAAAAAACACTGCATGATCAGTGCTTGCAAATATATATATATATATATCTATATGTGAAAAATCTGGTTGCAATGGAAAGCAGCTATGTAGCCATTTTGGTTATTATTATCTATAGTAATATGGCAATATGAAAGCATAAAGAAACCACTTAAAATGTGCAAAGGAAAAAAATTAAGAGAAAGAAGGGGTAAGAGTAGGAAGACACTAAGTACCACCCCAGGATTTACAATGAGACTTGAGCATTGCTGCTGGTCAAAGTGATGATTGAAGATCTTGTTCCATTGGCGGGGGGTGTATGTAAGAGAGGGCAATTTGGCATGGTGAAAAGCACCATCCTGTCTCCACAAGATCTGCCTCTTATTGGCCTCAAAGCCCAGCTTGAAAACTCTGGAAGTTATAAATTCACCTCCTCTGTCTTATGCAGACCAGAGATTTGCCATTGCACACCCTAAAACTCATCTTTCTTGGGGGATTGCAAACCTGGTCTCAGCAAAGCACCCTGGTGCCTTCACAAATGGGCAATTGTTTTGAGTCATAGTCCAGTCTCTCACAAGGAGTTTTTCTGGTTTCTATTTTGCATGAGTGTACAAAGAAAGATGAAAGAAAAACTAAAAACTGACCTTCAGATAAATCTTAAGGCAATGGTCCTGAAAAAATTCCGATTTTTTTCAGCCTTTTAATTCTGCTCAATCAGAAAACCTCTTTACTTTGTCTTTCCTAATTCTACCTGAATAGAGGACAAATACATGATCCACTTATTGAAACTGGAGATCCTTTGAGTGATCACATCTAACTAGTGGCAGTGTATCAATGGGATCTGCAGGGCTGGGGACAACCACCTCCTTAATATCATTAGTAAATAAAAGATGTTTAACAACTTCTAACCTAAGCGAAAAAGAACTAGCAATGCTACTCCAGGATTATGCAGCAGAACTAAGGAGGTCCAGCTGCACACATGCAGATCTCACCACCCTGTCCTCAGCTGATCAAGCTACACTAAAAACACACTTGGCCAGGTTTCCTGAGTGCTCAGACCACCTAGGTCTCGCAGCACTCCCCACACATACAGGGGAAGGAGTAAAGTAAAATGCCATATGGAAAACCACAGGCTGCCTGGAGATTGTAATGCTCCTTGGAACCCTGTGACCAGCAGCTCACCTCCCAGAGCTTCCATTTCCATAAGACACATCTCCTAAGTCTGTCTCAATAAGGCAGCACCACTGGTCTCTCCCTCCCCTCGTCCCTCCTAACATGCTCTGCAGCACAGATGATCTTCATTTGTACACAAATCATTCTGCAGACTTTGGAGTGCAAGGGCAGTGTATTGTAAAGGGATGAACTGGTGCCTAGTCCCTTTATCACCTCTCTTCACAAATATATATATGTATTTAAAGTACAAGGTGCTGGCAAATGAATGCAAGCATGAAGCTTACTCCCTTCCATAGAACTGCAGGGTCTATACAGGAAATGCAGAAGCACTACAAGTAGTACAGAAATTATAGCAAAGTCATGTCTGAGGACTGCAAAGATTTGTGGGATAACAGCTGTGGCTACAGACATCCTGGTAAAAATCCAGCTTTGACATCTGGAGTGTTCTTATCCACGCAGATTGATGTCTTAATAACCCATATTTAATTATGAAAATTGATTATAATTAATGTGGCCACTGCTGCTGTGTCTTCAATCCTGTAATGTTGTGTAAAATTCAGATCTAGTATCGTTTTCTGGTTGAAATTTAGAAACTTTTGGCTGAAAACAGCAACTGTAGAATCTAAATATTTATATCTATATCGCTCAAAAAAGAGGGATATGAAATGAACTCAAGCACTAGAAGCTTGATCACTTTTCTTGCTTCCATGCTCATTTATTTCATAGCTCTGTTGTGGACAATCCAAACTAACTCTATCCATGACAACATCCAGGTCTGGCTCTAAGGACAGTTCCTGCCAGACATGACCCCCAGAAAGTCAGTATTAACAAGTCTACCAGATTTAATTTGTCCACCCTAAACACCTCTTCATCACTATCCCAGCAATCTCAAACTCACCCCACAGCCTGTGTGTGATACTCTAGTGTATCATTCATAAGCCCTTCAGTTTCATGCTACTAAAACACATTTCACAGGCTGCAACCCAGCTCTTATATTGCTTCAGACGCATTGAGCTGAAATATACCCAAAATAATAATCAAGTTCCAGCACCACGGCAGTACCACCTAAGGCTCTCAGGACGCTTGGATTTTGGTAAGGACATGCATATTACCTCTGCTGGGATGAACCCAGCCACTTAGCTACTCTAACCTAATGGAGGTTAGTCTTGGGCAGCATATATATGAGTCTGTACTAGCTGTGTTTAGGAAAAACGATCAGCCTCCAGTCCTATTTAGTGTCGTAGATGTTGAATTGATTCTAAAACATAAGAAAATGCCAAAGTATTCAGTCTCCCGAAACATGCAAACACCACCAAATCTCAAACCTTCCCAAATCCTCCATAAGGATTTTAATTCAGCACTTATATTTTTCTAGACTCACCAAATACTGGCTGCCAATTCTATCTAAGGGGCTATATTTATAGTTGTTGCACATCCCTAACTGGATCTGAGGCTGTGCTGCACTTGCTACGAAGTGAGCACTCGCACAGCTGGTGGCTCCCTCCCTCCCTCCCTGCCAGTAGGACAGGGGGGAAAACAGGAAAAGGAGTGAGAAAATTCATTCATCAAAATAATTTTTTTTGTCTGTAAAGCTCTGTTGCCTCCAGCTATTAACAACCATTTTTTTCTTTTATTTTGTGGGAGACAGAAAGATAGAAAATGATCTATCTTTTGCTCTAAGAAAATTCCTCAGTGGACATGTGAAATATTAAGAATCGTCATATTCCCTCCCTCACCTGTGTTTTTCATGAAATTGCAATAATAAACCAAAATAACTTCTGTGGAGGAACATTTTGTTCTGAACCTTTATTTCCAACTCTGCAGCACTGTGAACTATACCAAAAATGAGAGGTATCAGAGACCTTTTCTCACTATAAAGCATCTGGGTCAGCCATGTCATCATATCTTTGGGAATGTTAGATAAGATAAAACTCTCTTATATTAAAGAAATAGTATTAAAACCCCCATAAAATTAAACCAATGTAATGTTCCCTATCTTTCCTTGCCAGAAGACAACTGTTCGTTCTTCATTATTTCACTGTTGGTTTATAGCATTTTAAGGTTTTTCATGTTCAAGGGTTTTTTTCCACAACGACAGACACGTTTCATTAAAAGCTAAGATTTTTATTTAATTCAAGGATACTAGAAGCCTAAAGCTTGAAGAAAAGCATCAAACTGAAGAAGATCTTTGAAAGGAAAGCCAGGACAGGCAAGTTTTTGTACAGTCCACTCTCTATTTTTCTCAGAAGCCTAAAAATGGTATCAGGCGGCCTTGATTGCTGGAGAAATGCTTTTTCCTTTGTCATCAGCACTAAAACACTTAGTCCAACAGCTGAATATGATGCTCAAGGGTTCACATACAAAGCTTTTTTCCCTGGATATTCTGGCTAAGTAGGTAAGACACACAGCTGAATATACTACAGAGCATACTGAGTAATTGACAATTGGGAACATATGCCTATATTTTAGAGCAATGGCAAATATCCCTAGAGTAATACCTATAATTAGCAATGCTTATAGAGTTGTTATACCATGATGGCAAAATACGAATTGAATTTTTAGAGGTGCACTTTACCAATGTTTTTCTGGCTGAGTACTCTACCTTTTTGTACAATTAGGTTGATCACTTTCTGCAGGGTTGATAGCACTAATTGTTACAGCTGAGGGTGCTGGAGAAGAGAAATTTCTCTGCTCCCTGGAGAGGAGCCCCAGGAGGAGGGTAAAATGTCAACATTTGTTTAAGATTTATGCTTGTTTAGATTGAGAACTGGAATTTGTCAGGTTCAGCAGAAAGAATGCCATTAGCTTTGACAACTGCGTGTGTGTAGATGTGTTGGGTAATCTGTTTAGGAGATGTGAAATGCTGCACACACTTCCCATTTTATTGCAAAAAGCTGAAATTGACGGTACCTGTCAAAAACGATCATCTTCCACCCTCTAAAAGAAAATTGACCCTTGCTTTCTCTACAGTATCCTTCAGCAGTATAGCAGCTCCACCTCTCATTTAGCTAATAATGCTTCAGCAAAGAGAAGTGGGGATTCAAAATATAATTAACCTGATGTCCAGAATTTTCTGCATTGAGGTCCAGTGCCTGAAGATTATTGCTACATTTTAGGAGCAACCCTTTAGCCTGGAGAGTGCTATGCATATCTATATTGCTATATAAATTAACACCAAATAATAAAGCAGGGCTATTTTAAAGGTCTGACATTATAAAAACAATCAGGACTACAGATTAATGTTTTATACCATTAAAAATGCCTGCAAAAGATCTATTGGAAAAGGCAAAATTAACTGGTAAACTGCACAAATGGTATCAGAAGCAAAGATCTCTAAGAGCCATTGCTCCAGCTGTGTGTCTGCAGGAAAGAAGTCCTTGAGAAGTCTGGTAGTATTAGAATAGTATTTACAGTATTCCTGAATAGATCTTTTTCTTAACAGCTTTTAAAGCATAGATTTACTTAT